CATCATAGTCTTGATAACTAATGTACCCCAGTCTTTTTGGTAAATTTGGTGACCTGGTAAGGGAAGGGTGGTTGATGAAATATACCCTTGGCAACTTTTTATGTGAATAACATGATAACTCACACATGACAGACCTGATAACTTATGTGCCCCAATCCTGATAACTTTGGCGACAGTGGTGAGGGGTGGGGGAGGGTTGTTGATGAAATATACCTCTTGTAACTTTTTTGTCAATATCATGGCAACTCACACATTATAGACCTCATAACATATGTATAAACAACGAGGTAACTTTAGACCCGAAAAAAAGTTATTGAAACATAACCCGGTTACTTCTTGCAAATAGCACGGTAATGTATGCATCTGGAGCTGATAACTTAGATATAAATACCACGGTAAATTTGACCCGGGGAAAAGAAGTCGTTGAAAACACGTCTCCGGCCACTTCTTTATAAATAACATGTTAATATACATATAACCTAACTGATAACTTTACAGTAACCTTTGACCAAAAAAGTGATCAAAACATATCAATATGAGATCTAGTTTTGAAGTTCTCATCGTGATGATTTTTTTATGTGAAAACAATTTTTCAATAAAAACGACAGTATGAGCTATAAAATATTTTACATCTTCAAATTAGCGAGAATTTACAATGACATCAGGTTTCCTGTGCTCTACTGTTTTTGCATGTGGAGAGAATGTTGGAGGAGCCATTTTTATGCCCCGGTAATTTCCATGCAAATATAATGGTAACTAGCGTACCACATAGGTGATAACTTATTAGGCTAAGCCTGATAACTTTTCACCCGAAAAAAATAGTCATCGAAACATACCAACATGAGATCTAGTTCCGGAGGTCTCGTCGCGGCGAATCTTTTATGTGAATACAGTTTATCAAGCTGACCAATGGTTTGAGCCACAAAACATTTTGAAGTTTCAAAATATGAAAAATCTTTGCTGACATCATCTGCTTTATCTTTTAGTTTGCATGCATGCATAGAATCATTAACAAGGTTGGGTGCATGTGTTTCCTCGCCAGCAACGCACGGGATTTGCTAGCTAATAAGCTCGCATGCATATGTGATCGTCCGCATCTTTTGCTTAACGTCCGACTGGGTGGACATTAGTCGTGTCCTTTGCGAAAAGCTCTCCGTCTTTTTTTCTTTCTTTTATTTTGCGAATAGCTCTCCGTCCTTTACAACTGCAACACGGCCACACGGGCATGTTGCAATCCGGCTGAGCTCTCGTATAGGAACGCGCGTTACGCTCGCGGGGCGGCGGCTGACGGTGCGAACAAAAAATAGTTCGTTGAGCGCTAGAATCCCATCAAATCGTCGGCTCCCTCGAGGCCTCGACTCGAATCCGCGGTACAGGAAGACGCACGAGCTTAGCCGCCCCCGCCGCCGCCGATGGATCCAAAGCTGGTGGAGGTCATGCAGCTGTTCGCCCGCTTCAAGGCGGCCTACCTCCGCAGCGATCTCGACGTCTGCTCCAACTTCCTCTCGCAGCTCAAGGTGCGCCCGCCCTTGCCTGCTGCCTCGAATCTTCTCCTTTCCCTTCCTTATGTTTCTTTCAACCGGGACCGGGAGGGTTCGAAATCTTTATTTTCTAGGTTTTATTACTTTTTGGTTGAATTGACACGTGAAGCTTCCTCCTTTTGCAGGCCCTCCTCACCAAGTTCCCCAGCCTACCTCCGTTGTTTCAGCAGACGCCCAATGCCGTGGAGGAGCTCAAACTTGCGAGTAAGATAACTTTGCTCTGTTGAGTTGGTCAGACATTGGGGTTGCGATGATGCTTTCTATCCGTGTGACGGTGTGAGCAGGGTGCAAGTGTTGGGAATTTTTCTTGGTAGGCTGCTATGTTATGGTTTAGGTACAGGAAGATTTTGTCTATCGGTGATGCTTTGCATCTTGTTGATCAGTCTCTGGTTGATATATGCTGTGGTTGTCTGGTTTCTGTAATGCTGTCTCAGATTGTGTCGTGATATGACTCGTTCAGCAACTCTAACCTTGGCTCAGCTGAAACTTGGTTCAGTACTTCAGTTAACTGCAATCCATGTGTAATCGATCTGTAATACTAGTTGATACGTTTGGTTTCTTGGTAATACTACCTTGAGGATGTGACTGGAGATCTTTATGGGCCTAACACTGGATCTGATTTGCCTTGGTCATGCAGTTTTACCTTTAGGAGTTTCAATTGACTGGTTGCTGCCATATCAATTTATAGATGCTTTGAATATGATCCCATCCTAGGACTGACGCTAGTGATGCTTGTCAGTTGTGAACTTGTGATAATGTGAACTCTGGGAAAAAAATTGTGCTTTCTCGACTTGACCTCGGACTTTGCATTGGATGTTTGTATTTGATGATAAGATTTGTTCATTTTGATAGTACTATTATGTTGTGCATGAACTCTTATGTCGATTGTGGTAACCTGTGTCCTGATTTTTGAGGAAAATGTGTGTCTATGTTGTTATGATCCAGCTAATTAGAATTATACTCTGGCCTTCCAATTATCCTTTCCTTGACAGAGCAACTACTAAATCAATCTGAAACCTTTCAGGGGACATTTATGAGCATGCAGTTCTTCTCAGTGTGAAAACAGAAGATCAAGATGCATTTGAAAGGGACTTCTGCCACCTCAAGCCTTATTACATGGACACATGGTTAGTTTCTTCTTACCACTTTGCAATTGTTTTCTCTGTCTTTGCATTGTGTAGGCTGTCATTCTAATGCATGTATCGTTCTCTGTTCTCTTTCATCTTCCATTGGATTATCATTGGGAAGGTCAAAAGAAATAAAGTGTTATTGGTTTTCTTTGGGTATAAGTTGCTAAATGAGTTTTCATCTTCCATTGGATTATCATGGGAAGGTCAAAAGAAATAAAGTGTTATTGGTTTTCTTTGGGTATAAGTTGCTAAATGAGTTAAACCAGAAGTGTTTTTTGGGTTAGTCCTGCATGAGTTATGTGGTGCTAATTTTGCTGGGTTCAGTTGGGTAGTCGAACTTGGAAATTATTATCTGTAAGCCAAGTTATACATGTAGATTGGGTTTGTATGGAATTTTTAGGTTCTCGCCTGCTGGTGAGCCGCAATACCCTTGTCAAACTGGCAATTGTTTTGTGTCGACTATTTTATTTTCACATCTTATTCGGCAATAGATGTTTGCTTCGTCAGGTCCAGAACATGTTGCAAAATGTCTGGACACGTCAATTGATATTTTATCTAAAAACATCTAGCACTTCCTCTTTTGCAACATGTCGATTGATATTATGCTATATCATACTAAATCATGCTGATACTTGCAGTGGCATAATTCCTCCATCACCGGTTGAGTACCCAATTATGGGGCTTAACCTTCTGAGGCTGTTGGTCCAGAATAGAATTGCGGAGTTCCACACTGAGCTGGAGCCTCTGCCCACCAAAGCGCTGGAGAATCCTTGCATCAAGCACGCGGTTGAGCTCGAGCAGTCTCTTATGGAGGGCGCTTACAACCGCGTGCTGAGTGCTTGACAAGCTGTGCCGCATGAAAGTTATGTATACTTCATGGACCTTCTAGCCGAAAGAGTAGTTAGGTAAGTGGGCTTGTGTCGCTACCCCTTCGTGTGTGATCTGCCGATTTACTCCTTATGCAGTCTGTTGCTAAGTGCTGAAGAGTTAGGAGCCTTTTGTAAGTTTTTCTATGTATGGGACGAAGCATATTGGGTGGCCGAGAACTTTACTTATAAAGATGGATTTGTAGAAATTGGATCTTCCATAGGAACTTTAAAAGATGCAATAGATTAGGTTCTGCTGCTCTTTGTAGTGCAACTATGTTTTAGGACAAATATTGCCAAAGATGAGAAAGGCTGCTCACTGTTGAGCTCATGATTTCGTTTTTTATGTAACATTTAGTAACATTGGACCCTTAATGGAGATTACAAAGATGGGGAGTTCTAGCCACCCAGTTCATCAAGATGCACAAGTACAAAATCAAAATAATCTCCTTCAAGCCCAACAGGTTAGCAACTGCTGCTGGTTACCATACTTTACTAGACCATTACTGGCGCGCATTGCCGCGCCCATCTATTTTTGCGATAGAATGATAAGAATTCCATAACTACAAGGACAAACATAGAAATTATCATACATGCTAAATAAATGCATATGTTGTTGGTAATTGATAAAGGGAGAACGTTACATTTGAGAGAAGATACATGATAAAAATAGAGGCCTTATAATCATCATCGTGTGAATGTGAGCAGATAAAAGCTAGAGCTATATACCACAGACTCAGTGTTTTTTTAGAATATATCTACTCATATATGGTTCAATTTATATACAAATGCACTAAGAGAAAGTTCTGATCACAATGTAACCTACAGCTAGACTGCATATGAATCATTTTGACTTGGTATGTACACATGTTCCCAGTAACGGACTGCACCTCTCGGTTCATCTTTTCCTTTTCACAAATAGTGAATGTAACTTCGCAGGGAATAACAAAAGCTCTATGCTGCAGAGCCTGCAAACATGAATAATTCAAAAGATGAATTACTTATCGAAATAATCCAAAGCGATTGAACTATGGATCAACATCTGAACAGAATCAGATTGTTTGATGTATGTAGTAGACAAAGACGACCATTGTGTGTCCTACATCGCACAGACCCCCAATATGTTTAACCTGGAGGATCAGTGATTGAGTCTGTATAATCAGCAACCTACAACAAGACATGGACAAACTGAAAAGGATAATGTATGCGATAAACAATAGAAAATTGGCCAAACCATAGAGGGGCAACAAACCTCACTAACAGTATATACTTCGTTGAGAGAAGATACAAGCCAAGCAAAGTTGTGTACTCCTCACAAGCATAACCGTCCCTGAAAATAACACGAAACAGCATGCATCAATACTCCAATGACATACATCACACAAAACAGACCAAATTTCCGGGAATATGAAAATGTGTAGCTTGCAGGTTCACAGTCACAGCAAGTAGGAAATGATGATCCGTATATCAGCAAAAATACAGATGATAAGCAAACCAGCATCAGCTCTGTTTATCAGTCAAACAAGCCTGACTCTTACCTATATATCAAGCAATCGCAGGGTTGGGGGAAGCCCATATTCTCTCCATGGTGGTGGGCAGAATTGTGCGGCAGCTGACTTGGATGGTGCACATCGCCCTGGCGAGGAAGAGCAGGTCTGCCACAAGAGTAACATCGGTAATGTTGTTTACGCTGGCACACTGTCTTCGCCGCTACCGGTGGACATATCTTCAAAGGTTGATGGGTAGATAGGCAGGGGGAGGGGATGGGAGAGGTTGGGAGGGATGCGCACACCCGTATCATTGGAAGCCAATTAGATGCAAACATATATCAAGAGATGGCGGGAGGTGCGCATTAGCTGCCATGAATGGGTACCGAGAACTGATGCTTCAGTTTCCACGCCGGCGCATATCGAAATAAATTTCTACTCAACAGCGGTATTTGATGCTTTCCATCACTCCTTGCTGCATCAACTGCACTTTACCCGCATGATTAGGCAGTTTCTCATCGCCTCGCCTCGCCTCGCCTCGCTGAGCGCATCACCCGACCGGCCCCACTTCGCCCGCGTTTGCTGGATCGAACCATTACCTCTGTTCTCTGTCTCAAATCAGTTCGTTGACCTTCCTCTGCAATAATAGGCCGACCGATCCAGCTCTATCTCGCTGGGAGGTCGCTCGATGTTTTGGTCAGCGGCACCAATGGTGGGAGTGCCATAGTCTTGGCATGAGAGGTCGGACATGAAGGAGGTCCTTGTGTCGTCGGAGCCCAGCGCCGTCGCCACGGGAGTAGTGCATCGTCCCATCGTCCGCCGCCACGCTAGGGTTGGGACCTTGCGAACAGAACGAGGGTTGCGTGGACCGTGGAGAGTCCAGCTTTTTGGATGCATGTACAAAGACAGCTCAGGCCCATTAGGCCCAATTTAACAGCGGACGCCCAAAATTGTCGCCAGAGCAGCGGCCGTCACGATAGCGCTCGTTCGTAGCGAGCGAACCGAGTGTAAGTGGTGTTCACCCTTAATCGGACGACTAAAAACGCTTAAAAGTGCTGATCGGACGGCTAGAAATGCTAATAGCCTGAGAGAGGAGGAAAGATGCTCAGTTATAACGTATCTAAATGTTGTGTATACATTGCTTACCTTCTTTTTCTACCATTTCTGTACACTACTGTCATAATTTTTCCTTCCTCAGAAGGATTAGTTGTTTATCCTACTATATTTAAAAAGCATGTACCCACAATTGTCCAAAGTTGATGGATTCAACCAACTAACACCACAACATTTATAGTATTACAACGGCATTCTAAAACGCCTCTGGAAGACGTAAAAATGCCTCCGATTGTTTTGTGTGGCATTTCTATAAAATGCTAGAGAAGCTCATGAAGGGGAAAGCCAACTGAGACGTTTTCCAGTAACGCCTTGAAAGATGTGGCATTCAGCGGCATTTTACAGACGCCACAAACGAGGTTTCGGGGCAATTTCCTAAAGCGCTCTAAACTTCTCGATCAAAATCGAAAAACAGAACTAACAAACACCATGGGGTCTTCTTCTCTTTGTCTCTTTTTATCTTTTCTGTCCCAAATGGCTATCTATCTTTCTTTCCAGGCTGAGAATTTAAATTAAATCTGACTAGACAAGCCCATTAGCGAGGGAAATGGCATCAGTACTTGTCATTTCTGAAACACTGCTTATGTTTGCACCCTTTTAACTACCTCCAACACTTTCTCGCCAAGCAGTATGGGACTAAAACAACCTCGCGCGAGAAAAAAAAACTGTATAAATAGAGAGGCATGCATGATTCGAACGCTGCATCGGCTGGAAAACATTGTGGCGCACTTACCACCAGACCAAGAAAGGTAATGTTATTGGCAAGAAATCCATATGCCCTTTTTACTGATACATAAACGGGCATGTCCCCTCCATTGACAGCGTTTCTTACAAATGCCTCAAAATCTCTTTCTATTTGAGGCTTCCAGAAAACGCCTCCACAGCTGTGTTTTGTGGTGATTTGCATAAAATGCCCTGACAGCTTCATCCAGTCCGAAGTGTTTTCCAGAAATGCCTTAAGCTAGAGATGATTTGGGGCGAACCTGATAGAACACCTTCTTAGATGCTATTCTGAAGTGTTTATAAAAACGCCCTGAACAGAACGTTTTGTGTTATTAACGTGTTGTAGTGTAAACAAGCTCTTTGGCTAAGCTGCCCACAAGTAAATTCACTTGATGAGAATGGATATTGGTTTCTGGCTGGTCATCGCGACAGCTGTGTAATCTTGCTGATACTTCTATTTTTAGAGGCACTTACAAATTATAATTAGTGCAAGTATCTTTGAGATTTGGGTATTCTTCTAATTGTTCAGTCATATAAAGAAAAATTCTGCTAACTCTTGCAACTTGGAACCAACTCCTAGAACTCATGTATGGCCATTCACTGTGATTGGCTACCCATTGAACTGGGAGTGGTTCTAGAATTCAGTCTCTACATTCGCCCACTGAACCAGCTGGTTTTGTGACACCCGGCTGGTTTTGAATGGTCACTAATCACAGTGATGGGAACTATTTTGCTTCTGCTACATTTGTTTGTTTGATTAGCCACTGTTTGAAGCATTTTTTTAGTCAAATGGTTGCTATTCTTTTTATTGTGATCCAATGGGGAGGATCCCATGGACAATATATTAAGAGAGAGCCCACCCGGGTGAGATACCACAAATTCGCTCCTGATGGGATTCGAACCTTGGTCAGCCAGGATGCGCCGCTGCGACCTAGCGAGTTCTATGCTATTCTTTTTATCATCTATGCACACACTTGAAACTATTACTGTTTTCGGAAATGTCTTCTCTGTGAAACCATAACATCATTTTCTCATGCTGCCCCTAACATTAACACACAGTTAATATGTTTAATTGGCAGCTCCAGAGGCAGTACACTCCTCAAATGACTATCCATAACCAGAATCTGACAGCACAGCAGCAGCACCAGCTGCTGCAGCAACAACAGTGGATGAGGCGGAACCAAATGATGCCCCCCCGCGGCGCTCTTACGATGTCGGACAAAACCCAGGCCCTGGTAAACGTGAAGCTCGAGAACACCATGGATTCACAAATTGATAGCCCGTACGGATCTCTCACCAGACAACAACAACATATGCAGTAGCTGAGGCACCAGCAGCTACTGCAGCAGCAGCAACAGAAGCAGCTCCAGCAACAGCAGGTATTGCAGCTTCAACAACACCACCAGCAACAGCAGCAGCAGCCGCCGCTCCAGCCGCAGCAGCAGCAATAACAACTCCAGCAGCAGCAACAGCTCCAGCAGCACCACCAGCAGCAGCAGCAACAGCTCCAGCAGCACCACCACCACCAGCAACAGCAGCTTCAGCAGCATCTGGGCATGTCCGGAAACCAGAGCACCGAAGCCCAGCTAGCGCAGCAGCAGCTGGGCATGTCTGGAAACCAGAGCGCCCAAGTCCAGCTAGCGCAGCAGCAGCTGGGCATGTCTGGAAACCAGAGCGCCCAAGTCCAGCTAGCGCAGCAGTTCAAACAAGCGCCGCAGTCGATGTAAGTATCCCCAGTTCTTTGCCGGTTTTATGCCGCCATCAACTGCTTCAATCCCTTGATCCGCGCTGTGTTGTAGGAACTCGTACGACATGCGGGTGCCACCTGTGAAAGTGGAGGCGTTCCATGAACTGGTGAGCGGGGACTCGTCCAGCGACACCAGCAAACTCACATCTCCCAAGTAGACCATCCATCCTTGTGCTGATGAAAATGTACGGTCGCTGTACTTGCAAGTCTTCCATCTCATCTGTCTTCACCAGCCTGTGCCTGTCAATCGTAGATGCAAGAGGTTTATACTAATTACTAATTGATGTGATTTAAGTAATTTGTACGTTATTATTAGCTCAGGTGTTTTCACGGTACGAAACATATCCTGCCTAGGCAATTTCCGGTTCTAAGAGTTGATTTTTGGTTACCGGGCTGGCTACGTGGAGCCTGAAATTTTAAACGATTCAAAATCTCGGTTCTGACTGTCGAGGTTTCTTTTTCAGTTGGGGTTTGATCGAGGGCATAAACTATTGTGACTAGCTGGCTGGTTGGTTATTTATAACTATAAGAGAATAAAAGCAGAGGTGGTAACTAAAACTATCATGTTGTTAGTACAAAAGACCGAGCATTAATTGTGAGTAAGATTTACCCAAATGCGAAGCTTTCTCTTCACCTTCCAGCAAAGCCATCCAGGTTTTCTGGTTTCCTTTTCAGAATATACCAGCCCTTTGTTCCTAAAAGGATCACAAGAAGAATGGCACAGTAAATAAATAAGATGATCCAGGGAACAATTGTGATGACACACAAAATAGGGCCTCTGGCATACCAAACATTGCGAATGCAGCAGCTAATGACATGTTGCATGAGGCTATAAGGACCTGGGTTAAAGCCATCACTATATCCATCGAATGGTTGAGACCAAGCACCGGTACTGAGACAGTATTGCGCAAAACGGCCATTCACTGGATGTCTGGATATGTATACACAACTGTCTCAGCAAGCAGCAACGATGGTTGGCAATGCCTTGGGCCTTGTACAATGAGAGGTGTTTAGAGAGGTGCTTACGAAAATAAACCGAGTTTTTTTGAAGCACCGGTGCCTATTTCTACAGGAGAGACGCTTAGTTAAGCGTCTATCCTCTACAAATAAGCACCGGTGCTTAAGAAAAGCCTGGTTTATTTCTCTAAGCACCTCCTCTAAGCATCTCCCATTGTACAAGGCCTTAGAGGGGACACTCATGCTCCTATCCTCAAGGAAGAGGGCTCGGTCTCCAATGGTTGTTACCGGGACAAACCTCTACAAGATGAGGTCCTCGTGTTTGTAGATCAAAATGTGTGTCATGGAGCTGTCGGTATACCCGACAAGCAGGATCTGCGAGTCGCATTCCTCAAGATGGTAGCCGCTGTAGAGCTTATCTGCCGGGCATGTGGCAATAATCTTTGGCGGCAGCGGCTGCGAACCAACCTTCGTGTGGAAGACCAGCGAGCCATTATGCCAAGGAAATTGCACCAAGTATTCAAGATTAAAGAAAGAGAAGAAGCCATCTAGCTATCAACTATGGACCCGTAGGTATGTGGTAAACTACTCACACATCATTAGAAGGGCAGTAAGGTTGATGTAGAGCCCCTCTGTGACCGATTCCCCCTCCGACAAAGTACCGGAGAAGGCCTCCATATGAGATCTGGTGGGATAGAAATTTGCGGCGGGGAAAAAGTATTTCGGGTGGCTCTCTGATGTCAGGGGAATATTTGAGTATTTATAGAGGTGGAATTAGGTCAAGAGGCGCCACGAGGGGCCCACAAGCCCGGGGGGCCCTCCCTAGGGTGCAACTCCCGAGCTTGTCGCTCCCTCGTGGCTCGTCAGATCTTCTCCCGAACCTTCTAGGGTCTCTTCTGGTCCAGAAAAAATTAATCCATAGTTTTTTCTTCGGCTAGACTTTGTTTGATATCGATTTCCTGAAAATCCAAAAACAAGCAGAAAACAACAACTAACACTAGGCACTAAGTTAATAGGTTAGTCTCAAAAACTGATATATAATTGCATAAAGTTGCATTAAAACATCCATGATTGATACTATAATAGCATGGAATAATAAAAAATTATAGATACATTGGAGACGTAACAGCGACCCAAACGGACACGCGCATATGGAATGGGTCGTCGCGTTGGTGTTGCTCTCAGACCGCCGTTTTCCCACAAACTAGAACCAAACCAGGTGGCTTTGGGAGAGTCCAGACACCAGCCCTGTATGAATCCGACACCCCAGGCCCACCCAAAACTAAGCCGGAGCCCGCGCTTTTATAGTTAGTTGCACTATTTCCGCAACACAATCCACCACTCTCCTCTTCCCTCCTGCCGCTCTCCACCCAATTTCCTGTTGCCGCCGATGCATGGACCCGTACAAGAAGTTGCCATAGATGGCGATGGAGGTGGATTCAGCGATCACGTTCGCCTAGAAGATAAGGCACAACAAAATCGCCGCTCAAGTAGCAGAAGGCCGGCAGATGCGAATGTGGTGCTTGTGGCAATGGACGGGCATGCAACGGACACAGTGCAGGGTGGAGGTGATTGAATGCTGTTCGGAGTCCTGGATGAGATCACGGACATGACAAGGAGCTCCGGAATAGTCTAGAGGTAAATATTGATATATGGGATAATAGTGTTTGGTCTATGGAATGGTTCCGGAATTCAACGGAAGGGGTTTCAGATGTTTCCCGAAATGTTCGGGTATGATTAAACTTTAATTGGGCCATGGGGTAAAGCCCACATGGCTTTAGGAAGGTGCAAAAGGCAGTTTTGCGGAAGCAAGGGGCCAGACGCCAAGGACCCTGGCGTCTGGTCCTGGAGTCCGGGAAGGACTCTTGCCTTGCAGGCTAAACCGACTTTGAGGAGACTCTTTCTCCAAGAAACGACCCCAGGACTCAACATATAAATGGAGGGGCAGGGCTAGCCCCGGAACACATCAAGATTCACCAAGTCGTGTGTCGACAACCCCGCCCCTTCTAGTTTATCCTCCGTCATAGTTTTCGTTGTGCTTGGCGAAGCCCTGCGAAGATTATTCTTCACCACCACAGTCATCACGTACGCCGTCGTGTTGCCGGAACTCATATACTACTTTGCCTCTCTTGCTGGATCGGAAGGTGAGGACGTCATCGAGTTGAACGTGTGCTGAACGCGGAGGTGCCGTACGTTTGATACTTGATCGGGACGGATCGTGAAGGTGTACGACTGCATCAACCGCGTTGATAAACACTTCCGCTTAGCAATCTACAAGGGTATGTAGATGCTCCTCTTGTAGCTATGCATCTCCATGGGTAGATCTTGCATGTGCGTAGATTTCTTTTGTTTTCTATGCAACTTACCCAACAGAGTCGGCGGCGGCGTTGGAGGAGGCGCGCGGGAAGAGCTGGCGTCGACACTGCACTTGCCCTTCCCCTTCTCATTGAAGATCCTCATGGTTGGCTTGCTGGATGGATGGCTAGGGTTCCTGGTCGCCGGCGAGGGAGCAGGCGATGCAAGATGGAGACGGGCGATGGGAGTGGATGAGGCCGGCCCCTTCGCACGCTTGCATTAAAAGGACGAGCGCGGACCCCATCGATCAAATAGGTCGAGTCGATGGCTCTGGTGGTCTCCTCCCACGACCCTGTCGGCACCGCGCCAGCCGCGGCTGGCATGCCCGCGCCGACGCCTCCGCCGCCCTGTGGTGCTCCAGGCATCTCTAACGCCCCCGCCTCCCGACGCCTCGCGGATGCTGGCTGCTGGGCCGCCCGCCCCGTGCTCTGCCGCCCCCGACGGGGAGTCGATGCCGTTGCGCTGGGCGGATTTGGTGGAGGATGATGACTCCGCCGCTGGCCGTCCTACCGTCCGGCGTACACCCCCGGCTCGCCGGGCTGTGCTGCGCCCAATGCTGGTCGACGCGCCGACTCGGGGAGTCCCTTCCCCACTCCATGCTCGCAGCCGATATCGCTCCCCGTCCTCCCGACGCCTGGCCAAAGGGCCGACCCTCGGTCGTGTACCGCTCGCCGTCGTCGCGCTCCGGCGTGGTGCGTCGCGGGGCGGTCCGACCTGGGTCGTGCCCAATCCTCATGGCACTCGGCGGCAGCTTCCTCTGGCTCTCGGCATGCCCCCTTCCCGGCGGCGTCATCTCCACCGGTGGTCGCCCGCTCCTCGCCGTTTCGGCCGTTCATTGTGGCTTTTGGCACCTCCTCACTTCGTTATTCGCCCAGCAACCCTCATCCTCGCCCCATGGACACTGGAGCCCCTGCACCGGCGCCGGTCGCGGCCGTGCCGGTGGCCGCAGCACTAGGGGAAACCCTAGTCGCTACTGCCCTGTCTCGCTGGCTGGGCCACCCGGTCGTGGGCCGCCCTAGTGTTGGGCCTAGATTTGGGCCATGGGCTTGTGCTGGAAGCTCCGCTTCCGGGCCCAGCCTTAGTTGCGGTCCTGGTGGGCCGGCCTGCCCGACCATCAGGCCTATTTGGCTGCCTGCGGGCTTCCCTCGCCCCCCATCCCATTCCTCCCGTGCCCTAACCCTCGCTCTCCTGTCCCTCGCCGCCAACACCTCGCTTCCTCCCCCGTCGCCGCCGGACCCCATGACCCGCGAGTGGCACGATGCTGGGACGCGCCCCAAGCGGCGCGCCGACGATCGCCGCCCTGAACCCTCCCGTGCGGAGGAGCGGTGCGAATCCTCCCACCCATCCCCCGACGCGGTTCGCCATGAGTCCGAGCTCCGCCGACAGCTCTCCTCCCGCGGCGAGTGTCGGTCTCCTGCCCGGGACGACCACCGCTCCCCTCACGCCGATCTCCTCCTCGTGCGGACCGCCGTGGCCGCTCCCGCTCCCGCTCGCCTCCCCCAGCCGCGGACCAGCGCGAGGCTCGACGCTGGTCACCTTCCCCTCCGCACCGTTGGGATGCTAGCCGCTCCCTGGCCCGGGGCGGCCGCGCTTGTTCCCCTGGCCGCTCCCATGGGCAGCAGGCCCCCCCTCCCACTGCCGCCGCGATTCGCTGCTAGCAGCCACCTTGGGGTGAGCCGAGTCTCCCCCCGACCGGCAATGGGGCGGGACGGGGCCGGCCCGGTGGCAAGCGCAAGAAGAAGCGCGATCTTGGACGTGCAAACGGCACTGCCCCGGCCAAGGCGCCACCCGGGATCTCGCCGCCTCGACTATGACCGCTCTCCTCCCCAACGACCGCTCCTCCGAC